TCGATAGGAAGATGAAGACTCTTCAAAAAAAAGGTGGTAGACTTGAAAAAGGTGTGGTGGTAGCACCGGAAGGGGTCAGAATGGACATAGGAGCCTGAAGACGAGATAAAAGAGCATTACCCATAGTTGTTTGTAGAGGTGGACTTCAAGGACAATGTCTGATTCAAGTAGGAGAGAGTTGTAGCACCCGATATATCAGGTCATACCTTAACAATTTATTTTCTTGTATTTGACTTAAGACCCTACTACATGTACTTTGTCGAGTGCATGAGATGGGGTAGGCGCCCTAGTACGCTTGGTGTACGTCAGTTAGGGTAAAACCTAATTTTTAGGGTTTTCACCATATTTAAACACCTTATATCCCCCCAAGCTTTCACCTTATCAGCCTACATTGACTCTTTTGTGCTGTATCTCGAAACCCTAACCCATTTCTCAAGAGATTGGCCCTTGTGTGTGTTTTGGTTTATGTGTGGTACACTTTGAAGAAGAAGAAGCCATGTAGAGGATCACTGATCAAGTGGAAGCTTATAGATCCAGAGATTATTCAATCTTTCCAACTTATTGGATGTATAAAGCTTCTATCTTGATGACTCTATGTGTTAGATCTAGTATAGAGCTTGTATTGAGCATATTATGGTCCCTTGATTCATCCTTATGAGTATAAGTTACATCAGGAGCTTAAAGTGTTAGATCTTAGCATATCTGATGTTGTTAGTACATAAAAATGTCATCTTGACAGGTTATGATGATCCATGAAAAGTTTGGTGTTCATTCCATGTGGATAAAGTGTTTAAGTTGGGTTTTGAAACTTATTAAGCCATGTAAATGCATAAGGATTGAAACTTTATGGCTTAATACATTTTATTGGACTTAGATATGAAGTTAGATGTTGGGTCTTAAAGCATTAAGACCATAATAGAAAGATCGTGTCATTGATCCGTACGTTGGGCATAAGTCTAGGTACGTTGTGCGTATTGCATCTCGGCCCATAACCTTCCCTTTGTAGATCTATAGTACACGTGGTGTAGCATAGAGTACATTAGGTGTACTCTCTCAGAACACCCATATTGGGCATTTTGTTTTTGGGCTACCTTGGACTTTATGGTTTTGGGGCATTGTTGTGCCACGAGTCTTTTTGAGTTGGGCCTGTATGGATTTGATCCCATATTAGGCCTTGAGTGTCTTTTGTACTTTGGGCTAGATTGGTTTTTGACAACAAAATGTTAGGCCCAATAAGAAAAGAGTAAAGCAGCCTTTTTACCCTAGGAGTCGAGACTTAGAACTTACACCCTCGGTTTAGGTTAATGACCTAATTACTAATTATGGTTGTATTATTTGTTATTTAGTGTGGGGCTTTCAGATTCATTAGCCTGAGTGTGATTTGTTTATCTTCAGACTGATGTGAGTTCCTTCACTATACTCGTGAGTTGAAGGAACCAATGTCAGCCCACTGATTTATATTTATAGGATGAAAATGTCTTGATGATAATTTGTTGTTGGGCATGTTTATGCTTGTTGTCTCTGTGACTCCTACTGTTATGATTATATGATAACTACAGGGGGTGAAATAGACCCAATATCGATTGAAAGATACCAAATGGGGTGAAATATACCCAATACCGATTGAAAGAGACCGAAGGAAGGTGAAATAGACCCATTATCGGTTAAAAAAGACTGAAGGGGGTGAAATATACGCAATAGCGGTTGAAAGAGATCGAAGGGGGGTGAAATAGACCTAGTTACATTTTGATTGTTATATATGTATGGTATGGGGTATTTTGAGGTAGCTCACTAAGCTTTGTGCTTATAGATTCACTTTATGTTCCAGGTACTTCCATCTCGAAAGGGAAGGCCACATCAAGATCACACCACAACCACCCATGTTTTCCTCATTATGTGATTTTGGAATTTTTTACTTTGATGATATTTTTATTATGTTACACTTTTGGTTGGTTTGATATGATTATTGGGTGTTTGAGAATGATTTAAAAACAAATTTTTAGCTGAAAATTTTAGGATGTTACATGCTTATAAGCCAACAAAAAATGATATCATCTGGTAAAGTGAAGATGATGATCATTCAACCAAACAGCAGTGAAATAGACCCAGTACCTGCTGAAAAAGACCGAAGGTGGTGTAATATACCTAGTAACGTTTGAAAGAGATCGAAGGGGTGAAATAGACCTAGTTATGTTTTGACTATTATATGGTATGCGGTATTTTGAGATAGCTCACACTAAGCTTTGTGCTTATAGTTTTCACTTTATGTTTCGAATTGAATCATTACCCTGTTTGTCGTTGGTATAGGGAGCACAGTGCATTACGACATTTTCATAAGTATCGTATCACTAGGCGGTAATTGTTGTAAATTCAATCTTTTGGCTTTTTTTGGATGTTTGGTTATTAAACAACACTTAACTATATGTATTAAGTAATGCTTCAATGAAGGTAATTTTCTTATTATAGTAAAAATGCTTGTCATCTAATTAGGTTGTATGAGTTAGGGTTTGTGGCATTAGTTCTTATGGGTCAGATGGTCATATTTGGACCATTATTCAACTGAGGTTAAACGATATATATAGACACACAAACTTAAAAGAAATTGCCACCATAAAATGTTTACAGCCATATGCTTTGTCATATTTAGTATGTGTGGCTAAATGGTACATATGGTCATACAAACAATTCATGTGATCATAAGTATTACCTTTAGCCACATTAGAAACCATTGCACATTATTTTCGATAAAACGAACAAATATATGGCAGAAGTTCATATTTGGCCACATTTTTCGACTAAAGCTAAACGATACATATGGACACATAAACTTTAAAAAAATGCCACCATAAAATGCTTAAACCACATGGTTTGTCACGTTTATTATATGTGGCTAAATGATACATATGGTCATAAAAACAATTCATGTAACAATAGGTATTACCTTTAGCCACATTAGAACCCATTGAACATTATTTTTTATAAAACGAACTTAAATATGTGGCAGATGGTCGTATTTGGCCGCACTTTTCGACTGAGGCTAAATGATACATATGGACACACAAACTTTTAAAAAATATCACCATAAAATATTTGCAACCAAATGGTTCTTCATGTTTATTATATGTGGTTAAATGGTACATATGACCATATAAATAATTCATGTGACCATATATATTACCTTTAGCCACATTAGAATCCATTGCACATGAGTTCCGATAAAGAGAACACAAATATGTTGTAGATGGTCATACTTGATCACATTATTTTTACTAAGGCTAAACGATACATTTACACACACGTTGAATTTAAAAAATAAAATATTAAAAAAAAAAAAAAAACATCACCATAATGTGCTTACAGTCACATGGTTTTTTTAGTCTATTATATGTGGCTAAATGATACATATAATCATACAAACAATTCATGTAGATATAGGTATTACTGTTAGTCGCATTAGATTTCTATATGTGTCGCTAAATAATACATATGATCATAAAAGCAATTTATGTGACCATAGGTATTACCTTTTCGCAACATTAGATTTCTACATATGACAATATATATACTAATGATCTCATCGATAACCATTACGATTTTAAAATATTGCGAAAGTAATCCACGGTTTTACCAATGATAATTTGTAACACTTTCGAACGAAATCGTCACATTATTTTTTTTAAATGTTGCAAAGCGATTTATATATTAAAAAAAAAGTATGATCGTAGGTCATTTTTGTTGTAGTTAAGACTTTCACAATAAGTTGACCAATCAAACATTACTATATTGTCATGCTTCTTGTTGATGAAGTGTGACACAGATGTGTTCATGGTATCTATGTAGTTAAGACTTTCACAATAAATTGATTGATCAAACATTGCTATGTAGTCATGCTTCTTGTCGATGAAGTATGACACAAATGTGTTCATGGTATGTATGTATGATGGTTTATTGATGTAGATATTAATAATGTAGTTTTTATAAATAGTTATAAATATCTTCATAAATGTGAAAAACCTGATGAATAAGACTTTTAATATGTAATAAAGAGAGTATGTTAGTATAAAAGGATGATGAGAGTTTGAATGAATAATTATATAAAATCAATTAAATATGGTGGTTTCCTTGCATATGAATCTAGGTTTGTCTTTAATACACTTGAAAATTAAGTGTTGTGGTTACCAGTGATTTGAAAATAACCAAAATAAATTGGATGTTAATAATTTATGTTATAAATTATAACCCTTTAATATGCGGATGGTGGAGGCATAAAGCATAGAATTCGCTTCCATTTGATAAACGGGGTCTTATATATGTATGGTTAAATGACATGGTTGTATGGATGTAAGCTAGTTATTTCATTTGATTATATATATAGCCTAATCCTTAATTTTTAACAGGTTTATAGAACTCGGTTTCTTTATAATATAACCTATATTTTCTAAAAATCGTGTCTTATATATCAGGCTTTATGCGATTTTTTGTAGTAGTGTATGTTCTTAAATGAATTGTAAATTGTTGATCTAATTATGCTTTAAATAGATCCACGATCCTTGGGAATTGAACTTTTTTTTAATTTTATCATTGATCCCTAATTGTTTATGTATACATATTTCCATAGGCCAACGAATGAGGTAGGTTATCTTTAAAGTTTTGGAGTTTTGTTCCAATGGGCCTATATGTCACTACCAAATAAGACACTTTTTGTGACCCCCCCCCCCCCCCCCCCCCTCACGTGCACATCCAATAAAGAGCATTGATGCAATATGTTTTACAAGACTAGGAATCCATGTACTCATATTTTCACTTGTTTTCATTATCTTGCCTATGCAAGATGACATAGAACCCATTAAAACTCTTTATTTGATATCCAACTAGGCAACTACCTCACTTCAATATATTTATCCAAAGTTTGTTTTAAACGTGTAACATACTAAAAAGCAAAGGCATCAAAGAGGAGAATACAACTGCATAACCATTTATCAGTTTTAATATTATACTAGGTCATGAATGTGTGTGTTCAAAATGAGAAAACACGGTTTCTAGAAAATAGGTAAACCCTATTTTTCCAAATTCACATATTTGTAGGCACAAAAGAGAACACAAAGAAAAACTTGTGAGCTTCTACATTGAATACGACAATACAAAAAAAAATCCAAAAGACAAATATATTTTAAGATTAACATTATTTTTGGAAAAATAAATTTCATCTTACAAATGCTGGGAGTAATCAATTGGTTCTTCTACAATTGGTCCGAACCTCACCGCTAGATCCGGTCAAGGGGTTAAGATTACTCATCTTGAGCATTCCATTTGCAAAGTCTGTCAAAAAGGTTGCAGAATTCGCATTGTAAGTTCTCACTTGAGCATCAGTTGAACCACCATTGAAAAGTTGTTGATCCGAATGCAATAGACCATTTTGGTTCAACAAATTATTGAAGTATGCATTGTCAAATGACGTAGGTGAAGCAACATCTAAGGGAGATAAGTTATTGTCGCCGCCACTTGAAGGACAATTGGCCCTTAGTGATGTGGCAAATGATGAGTTTATGTTGTTCTCGTTATAAAGGCGAGCTCGAAATATAGTACATCTTGCTTGCCCAATTGTATGAGATCCTATAATCCCAAAAATTCGAAACCATATATGTCAATAAATGAGAACAATTATGTAAGATAATTAATGGCAAAGTACAACAATTCTTAATTATTATTTTTTGCTAATACCATGAAGTGTTGACATAACTTATCCATTAGGAGTCTATATAAAATGTCTTTTGAAGTACCTTTCCTAATTTTAAGGCTCACTGCTAGCAAGAATGCCCCGAAGAGGCACAGACATGATAGCATTTAAATTATGACATATAGAAACAAATTAAGGCTCAAGGTTATTCCACTACTAACAGGATTGTACAATTTTCCACGTGTTAGATTTTTCATGAGAGAGAGAGAGAGAGAGAGAGAGAGAGAGAGAGAGAGAGAGAGAGAGAGAGAGAGAGAGAGAGAGAGAGAGAGAGAGAGAGAGAGAGAGAGAGACATTGAATACCTGATAGAGCAACCATTTCATTAGTAGTAAAACCTTGGTTTGAAAAGGAGGTGATAAGACCACTAAGGTTCAAAGTAGGTGCCGGAATGTTCGAATTAGCTGCACTCAAACTAGCCGTAGTTGAGTCCCTCCGACCAAACACCAGGTTCCAACTTGGGCCACCAAGCTGAAAACCAATCAAATTTAGATAATTAATTAAACAATGGTTTATATATAGTTTGCATAATCATTCTGAATTAACAAGGATTGTTCCTAGTTCTTACTGCTACAACAGAATCAAGAGCAGCCTTTGCTACTATATCGGCACAAGAGATAACACCAGGGCATGAACTTTCTAATTGACTTTTGATGGTGTCAATTACATCAAATCCTCTCAATGAATTGTTATTAGGTATGGCTGTTTTTTCTCCCGTAAAATTTGCAGTATCATCGAGTAGCACCGATGCATCACACCCCTACATATAATTAACGAAATAGAAAACAATTAGTATGGGACAAAAGTTTTTAATCTGTAATCATAAAACATGCAGTGTAACTTTTCATGGTAGACCTCCAAATTCGCTTACATGCAATTCATATGACATTAAGCATAATTAATTATCCATCTGTATGATGTACACATCTTCAGATATATACATGATAGTATATCAATATGTATAATACGATTTTATATATATATATATATATATATATATATATATATATAATATATATATATATATATATATATATATATATATATATATATATATATATATATATATATATATTGCATCGACACATGATACATGAATCATGATCCTGCTTCTAGATATCGATGTTTAGGAAAAACTGTCTACGTCTTCTTTTGCTGACAATTATTATAACCAAACAAATGACATCATTTGTCATATATATTTTGGCTGGTCTGTTAAAGTCAACAACTAAACACCGCGTTGTATCTGTGATTCAAAGTCAAAGATAACATGAAAAACAATAGTGCTTAATTTTTATTGGACAGGAGGTTACTAGCTAACGACTTTAGCTAATGAAGTGATATCTTCCCTATTACGTGGAAATTATAAGATCCATCTTTATTACAACTACTCCTCCCATCATGTGTGGTCCTGGCTTCAACAACGAGAACAAACTAATTACATTTAAAAACTAGGTTGATATACGCTTGATTAACCATTTAAATTCTTATGTTTGATACAAATTAAACACTAATCTAAATTTTAATCGAAGCTTGGTCTAGTTTCATTGTTTGAACGTATATGCCATTGTTCCATATTCTAGGCTGTAAATTCATTATGTATAGTAAATTGTAAAAGCATAATTGATGCTAATATATAGAATATATATGCACAAATAAAGCAGTTCATATAATGGATAATGTGTCAAACAAAGTGGAGTTAGTGATTGAAAACTTGCATTAACAAAGCAGTCATGGAAATGAAGACGAAGTAAAGAAGCACCCATTCGAGCTTCATTTGAAACCGCAGAGTTCACAGCACTTGATATAATGGAGCTAAAGTTAGGGCATGAGCTTGCATAAAAGTTTGCCGAAAGTTGACCTGTTGCTGTCCCAACCAAAACAAATAATGAGAATATACATGTTGGTAGGCTATAGAAATAAAAAGATGATTGAGCCATTAGTTCAAACGCTAGCATGCAAAAAATGTTTAGAAAGGTGATTAAGGAACAAGAGAGAATTGGTTGTGTTTCTTCGGTGTTTATGGTTAGTCTATATATAGGGAGCCGATTGAAGAGGGTGATTTAGTATATAACTGAAGCAAACTGTGTAGAAAACATTTACAGCTGTAATCCTAGAAAATAAAAGAAAATGTTTTGAATTTGTCGCTCAATAATGTTGCTAGAAGTTACAGATGTTACTTCAATAGAAATTAAATATTTTTTTATTATTCATATATTTTGTAGTATGATAAAAAGTTTTTGGTTCAAAGTTACACAATATGGCCAATCGTTATAATAAATTGTTGATTGGATTAACTTAAGTACATAATAATAATAATAATAATAATAATAATAATAATAATAATTCAACAATGTATATTTATATAGGGTTTACCTAGAAAAACTTTATGTATGTTCATACCTTTGAAAACAAGTTTCTAGAAAGTAATACATGGATCAATTCATTCCTATGGCCACAAGAAAAAGAACCTATAAAGACGAATCTATAAGAATGGCATATATGGTCGCTATAGTCGTCCTATAGGGACCACATGTCATCATCATATACTTGACTAATTATTTTTGACTTTTGAAGCTATAGCGATAACCTCTCGTCGTCTCAACATGTTAGTGGGAATGAAAGTGGATTTGGGTAGTTCTTGAAACACGAGTGCGGACGATTTATCACTCCAATAAATAACAAAAATTAAAAATAACATAGTTTTTAAATCGTTTCACAGAAATAAAGGTATGACGTCGTTGTGGGGATAGCTATAGGGACGACTTGTCGTCCTCATTGATCACTATGACCAAAATTAGAACAGTCCCTTTGTTTCATTAATGCATGCTCGATCATCAATCATTGGTCTCTCTCAATCAATCGATCAAATATTCTCCCATGTTGACTTCCTAACCTCCTACTCTTGAGAAATCTTCTTCCTCTCTCCACAGATCCTCATATTATTTCCCGAAGACCACCGTCGATTAGCTTCAACACCGACGATTCTAACTATCAGCTTCCTTTTCACATTACGAATTCTAATGATTACACGCCCCACTCTGACGACCTAGGTTAGTAATTCTCAGTTTGAAACTAGAATTGGGATTTATGTTAGCAATAATGTGTTTGAATATAGAATTCTGATTTTTTTTATGGTGTCACACCACCAAACCAGAATTGCGGAAACGTCTAAGGGTGGATGATTTCATGAACAATATCATAACATAAGGAATAATAGTGATCAAAGCAAAACAACCATCATAATTAAAATTGGGAAAATTACATTGTACCCGAAAATTATTTTTTTCAATTCCAATTACATTAAAACAAAAATCAATAGTGTGATGATGTAATGTCCATCCTCACAGCCTTGTAATTACCTTGTTAACGATTCCATGAGAATAAAAGTAGTTTTGAAAAAATATCAACAATTAAGTTGGTGAGTTAATAAGAGTTTTGTATACGAAAAATCTATACCTTTTCCTTGTAAAATGATAGTGTATGTTTCTATAAAATCCAATATTTTCTTAAAAATGAGTTGTGGTCTTAAAACCCTAAGACCAAAAATGTATAAGTATTGTTGTATTTGAAAATAGTATTATGTAGTTTATTATTATATAAAACCATTTGAATGTATGTTAGCCACGTAAACCAAATGTATTGTTAATACCCCATATGAGTTATTATAATCGTGCTAAATGTATCGTTGATTTTGAAAATCAATGGTAGTCTTAGAAACCCTAAGACCGAAATGTATATGTATTTATATACTTAAAATAGTAATATGTAGTTTTATTCTTATATCAAACCATATGAATGTATGATAGCCCCGTAAACCAAATATATTGTTAATACTCCATGTAAGTTATTATAACCGTGTTAAAGACATAGATGACATGTTACGACATTCTTCAGGCGTCAAAATATTATGAAATTTGTCACCTGAGACTTGTCGATTTAGCTGTTGCAAGCAGCTTAGGTGCGGGATTATCACTTCCGTATAGATCGATACACAAGTATCGCACTCTTTTACGAGATATTCTGGTTATAATACAGGACTTTTGTAGGTATTCTGGTAGGTACGATGAAGACTATGTCTCACAAATTTGTATTAACAGGTTTAAGTTTTTTGTAATGAAAACCCTTTTGTAAGTGGAAATATTACATTTCTATAGTGAATACATAGTATAAAATAATCATAACTTTAAATAACTATTTGTTCGCCCCAAAAATGGTAAAATAGTGTTCATGACCCATAAACTATACCCATTATAGTTTATCATATATGTTTTGTTGTAATGAAAACTTTTGTATGTGTAGTTATCACTTTACCATGATAATAAGATATTAGAAAATAATTATATATGTTATTATATAATTATCCACCTTGTTTAAAATTTTGTAATAGTCTTAATGTCCCATAAACTATACCTATTATAGTTTATTATAATAGTTCATTTTTACCCATATATATATATATATATATATATATATATATATATATATATATATATATATATATAGAGAGAGAGAGAGAGAGAGAGGCTAACATATTTAGATATTCATAAATAACATTTATTTTACTTCAACCACAAATAAGTGAGTCCTTAGTATGAAAATGTCCATTTTTCTAGTTTTTCACTTTTCCCTCCAAGTGTTTAGAAAAATTATAGAAAAAACATCGTAAGTCAAAATTTGGATCTGTATAATCTCAGAGCTTAGAAAATGAGTCTAATTTGTCCATAATTTTTTTCCCTGGCCTTAACTGGTTCCTAATCATAGTGAAAAATGTTCATTTTTACAGACTGGTCCGAAAATGTTCTGAAATGATAGACAGTTTTGTAAAAGTCACCATAAATTGTAGAAAAATTGTATGAATGCGTGCGAGTAGTCCTTAAAAAGGTATAGACTTGAACTATTTGCATATTGTACAATTTTGAAATATATTAAGTTTAAAAAGGGTAAAACATTCCATGAACAGACCACAACTTTTCTGTAAAAAACTGATTTTAAGCTTAGATATGTTTTAGTGACATAACTTGTATTTTTAGTTTGCAAAGCCTTTAAATCATCCAAATATGATTTATTTACTTGTATCCCCCCTCCCCCACCCTAAAACTTGGAAAAACTAAAAAATGAAGGGGGTATGAACTCACTTTGAGTGGATTTCTTAGTAGATAAATATATGAAGATGAAGGTTTTCAAGCTTAGAACACTTGAATATGCTTGAAGAACACTTGAATGTCGAATTACCATATGCATAATAACATATATAAACGTGTGTAAATGCAACAAAACTAGTATCTTTATGTGTAAAATCACTATATTTATGGAAGAATCTTACCAAAAATTGAAGAACCAACTTATGGAGAATTAACCTTGAAAGAACTTGAGTTGATCTTGAAGAGGGAGATGAAGAAATGGAAAAGATGGAGAGAATGATGAAGATGAAATGATGAGGGGGTGGACGTCACTTTAATGGGGGAGGGTGGTGGGAGTAGGGGTAGGGTGGGTGTGTGTACAGATGTATGTTGGATAATAAATTTTTTGGGAAAAAGTAGACACAAATTTTGTCTCTTATGTGTTTTTATAAGATTAAAGTCAACCCTCTTTTATTTTATAAAGATCCTGACATTTCTTATAAAAATAATGGTATTTTATAAAGGATTATGGTATAAATGAATGTATAAATATTTAATTCGAATTATAAAAAAAATTCAAATTATTGTAAAAATCATTATTATAAAAAATAATAATATGTTACATGAAAGTTAGGTTGAATTTCTGAGTTCGTTTCGTTAAAAATTGGGTGTTTAGTCGGGTATAGAATTTGTCACATTTTGGTGATGAATTCACCAAAAATTTGTGATTATAGCATTTGTTTTGAATTTGTCATATAGTATAAGATTTATTAACACCACTACATTATGTTATGAATATTATTTATACCTAAATAATATAAAATTGAATTACTGAATTGTTACGATACTAACCTTATTTAGGGTTTATATTCGATAATTGGAAACCAGAGAGGTACTTTGTATTATAACTTGTCAATGGTACATTAAAAACGTTAGAATATCACATTTCTCCTAAAATTCTAATACTATTCGAGTTGACCTGGTTGACTCTTGTTGATTTTGTTTGACCAAAATTGACTGTTGTCATAATGTGTAGGGCTTAACGGGAAAACAAATTACAGTATGAGCAAAAATGACCATTTATGCAAGTTTTGGAAACCATAAAGAAAATGTTCGAAAAATAATTAACAAGGAATGAATTTGTTAGCTTTTATAAACTAGAGTAAATTGCACTGATGTTCCCTGTTATTTGTAGTAATTTGTATGTTTGGGCCCTAACTTTTTTTTAACTCGGAAAGTCCTTATGTTATGCTTTTGTTGTGTCGTTGGTCCCTGCCCAACATAAAAAGACTATATTACCCTTATTAATTTATTTTAAAGTTAATTAACTATTTTATTTATAAATTTTAATTTAAAAAAATCATACTAAAATTCCCACTCTACCCCAACTACTGAGTCACACCCCACCTTTTCCTTTCTTATCAAGTTGATCTCGTGATTTTCAACTTAAACCCTAAATCACCACACGCGGACAATGACCTCCTTGTCTACTACCGCCGACGACCAATTTCTTACTAGCTTCATCGACGACTACTTTCTCATCCACTATCATAAAGAAAAATCGTTGAAACCGTCGATGTCACAACTAGCATTTTAGGGATAGGTTTTTCCCTATTCATGAACAAGATAGTCTTTGTGCAACAATATAACGGTGTGTTTGCATGTGAACCAAATACAATGATATATCAGTTTATACATCCAAAAAACTTTAATTCAGTCAAAACTTCCTCGTAACAGCCCTAAACCTAATTCAAAAATATTCAATCACCCAACTTTGGGTTTTGACATTGACTTCTCAGTACAAACCTCTTAATGGACCAAACTCTTCTTATTGGGCCTTAATGGGCTAATAACCCTTTGGTTTGACTCTTTTGGGCAAAGAGTCCACATTTAGGCCCTAGTTGGGGCTGAAATTCATTAAGCAATAGTATTTTGGGCCGTGAACACCTTATTTGGGCCATAGTTGGGCCAAAAACCCTTCATCAAAATAGTTTTGGTTCATAAACTTCTAATGGGCCTTATCGGACCATGATGGATTATTTTAAGAACTAGTGGGCTCTATTTGGGCTGAGAACCCTTTCGCTTACCCCTTTTGAGCTGCAAACTCGCATGTGGGCCCTCACGGGTCGAAAAATCTTAATTAGGCCATAGTGTTCACGGTATCATATCAAACCTAAGCCTAAAAACTGCTCTTTTTCTTTCCTCCCTCCCTTATTCTCGGTTTCCTAAATAAAAGAATGGTATTATTCACGCTGACTTGGCAATGGAAAACAAAATAATGGATGATCTGGCTCGCAAAACTACTCAGATTGAAGTCCAGAAAGTTCAACTTTCTCAGGTGGATAAGGAGATTGCTTCACTGAAAACTGAGCTTGCAGTTATAAAAAGTTGTGCCTCTGATGTTCTTAATATTTTGAGTAATGTTCTTCATGATGATGATCCAGTTCTTACTCTCATAATCAGAAATCATTTGACATCCAAACTTCTTCCGACAATTAAAATCCTAAGCCAGATGAAGGGTGTTACAGAGTCGATAGTCACTCCGCAACAAGGGGGAGATGGTGTTGTGCAAACTCCTCCTGTTCCACCTAAAGTTGTTATCAAAACAGAACCGAAGGGTAATGAAGCTTCGAATTTTGGTGTTCAAGATAAGAAGAAGGGCATTTTTGGTGAAAGTGACGAAGATAATGAAATGATTGCTGAAGCCTTGAAGCGAAAGCAAAGGGACAAAGAGGTAGATGATAATCTTCGTATCGCTAGAGATACAGAAGATAGAGAACGAAAGAAGAAGGAAGAGTATGATGCTCTTGTTTTCAAGAAGGCTTTGTTTCCTCGTTGGACTAGAGAAGGATTGATCAAAGAAGCAATTGAGTTTCCTAGCATGTACTGGCTGGAACCTGTTGTCTCATTTGATTGTGACAACTCGAGGGACTCTCAATTTGATATGCCTATAACCAGAAAGGCATTTGTATTTCACCGTTTTGTTTAAACAGTTGAAGTTCCCTCTCCTCATCCTTAGGTTGATCGTGATCTTATCGACTACTATCTCAAGTTCAGTCAACCTCAATATGTGACATGCAGTGCTCAGAAGATAACCACTGTCAAGGTGATGAAACCCTCACCTGCTAGGAAGTTTTTGAATATTCAGTTTTGGATAACCAGAGGTTCGAACAACTCGGTCCATACAATTTCTTTAGCAGATCTTCCTAACTTAAATCCTCATGATTGGATTTTACTGTTTAATATTTTGCTCACAAATTCGAAGGAGTGTGAGCCGATCCTCAATCATCTTATAAGGATGTTGGCCTCTTATATCCTTGAAGTTGCAAAAATGGATCAAGAGGTGGCTCATGTTATAAGGAAGAGACCGACCATGAAGCCTACTGGAAAGCCTGGAGATGTTAACAAAATAAACCTGGGTCAAATAGACTCTTCTAATATTACTGTCATGTTCACAAGAGCCGAAGGTGAAAGGTTTTTGTTCGCTCTTGTTGATATGCACTTGTTCTCCACCGACTGCTTGGAGCACATTCTTGATATTATTCACCGATGTAAGCAGAACAGAGAGTCAGACAAGAAGAATTTCACGGACATGCTTCGGTGGTATATCACTTTTCGTCAAACTCTGTTGGCCATTATACCGAATATGTTCAAGACTGTCAGGAAATCTTCTGTTGGTCAACCGAACTGAGCTCTCACTTCAATTGACGCAAAGGGGGAGATTGTTGAGTATTAGACTTGCGCCATTGGGCTTAATGTTTGGTATATTTTGTATATATGGAATGGGCCTATTCATCTGTGTTTTTTACTAGGGTTTATCTATTTATAGTGCATGCATGTCTTGCATTAAGAAGGTTGATTTGATTAATAGTTGCATTGTAACCCTTAACACCTCTACAATTAAAGTTCTTAATCGAGCTCTTCTGTGGTGTTAAAGTTTAATCATTCAACATCGTTTGAGCCATTCTTGAGTTCCTTACATTATTGTTCTTGCTTTTCTGTTTAGAATCAATCAATCCAAATAGAATTTGTTCCAACACCCTTCAACTGGATTGACAAACAAGAAGCTGCTTTTCAAACCCTGAAGCGAGCCCTCTATAGTGCTCCGGTATTATCTTTGCCTGAGGGAACGGAAGACTTCGTAGTATATTGTGACACTTAAAATCAAGGGTTAGGCTATGTTCTTGTGCAACGTGGAAAAGTGATAGCTTACGCGTCTAGGCATTTGAATACCCATGAAGTAAACTATACCATCCATGGATCTCAAGCTGGAAGTTGTGGTCTTCGGCCTAAAAATTTGTAGGCACTACATTTATGGTACAAAATGCACCATCTTCACAGATCATAAAAGCCTCCAGCATATCTTGAACCAAAAAGAACTAAACATGAGGCAGCGAAGATGGGTCGAGCTGCTTAACAAATACGAATGTGAGATCAAGTATCATCCCCGCAAGGCTAACGTGGTGGCCGACACCTTAAGCAGGAAGGAATACCCAGGCCACAAAGTAAAAACAATAAAAATGATCATCCATACCCACTTGTATTCATAGATCAAAGAGGTTCAGTTGGAAGCCTTGAAACCAGAGAACGCTGTGAGTGAAGCACTACGTAGGATGGAAAAGAATCTTGAGATCAAAGAAGACGGAGATTACTATTTCATGAATCGAATCTGGCTCCCAAAATTTGGAGGGTTCAGAGATGTAGTCATGAATGAAGCTCAAAAGAAATGATACACCGTCCATCAAGGATCGGATAAGATGTACCTAGATATCAAATAACGTTATTAGTGGCCAAACATGAAAGCGGAAATTGCTACCAACATGGGCAAGCGCCTGACTTGCGTAAAGGTTAAGGGAGAATATCAGAAGCCCTTGGGATTATTACAGCAACCAGTAATACCCAAGTGGAAATAGAAACGAATAACAATGGATTTTGTAACCAAGTTGCCTAGATCAGCGAACGGACTGGATGATATCTGGGTGATTGTTGATCGGTTAACAAAATCCACCCATTTCCTACTAATAAAGGAGACATCTAAGATGGAGTGATTAACACGGATCTGCATAAAGGAAGTCGTGAGATTACACAGAGTATCGATATCTATTATCTTTGACCGAGATAGTAGATTTACCTCACGATTTTAGCAGTCACTCCAGAAAGCAATAGGAACCCAACTCGATATGAGTACTGCGTACCATCCCTAGACCGACAGTCAAAGTGAGTGAACCATTCAAAAACAGGAAGATATGCTCCGAGCTTGTGTGATAGATTTTGGCAAGGCATGGGATACCCACTTGCCACTAATCGATTTCTCCTACAACAACAACTACCACACGAGCATAAAAGTCGCTCCATTTGAGGCCTTGTATTGTCGGAAATGCAGATCACCTCTTTGTTGGGCTGAGGTGGGAGAGACTCAGTTGGTAATAGGGAAAACACCGAAAGCACACTCACATGACCTGAGATCATTCAGGAAACAACGGAGAAAATACTTCAAATCAGGGCACGACTCCAAGCATCGTGAGACCGTTAAAAGAGCTATATTGATAAAAGGAAAAAGCCTCTAGAGTTTCAAGTAGGAGATCGGGTACTATTAAAAGTCTCTTCGTGAAAAGGGATGATTGAGTTTGGAAAGTGGGGAAAGCTAAACCCATGATACATTGGACCATTCGAGATTCTTGCTCGGATCGGTCCAGTAGCCTACAGGGTACAACTACCCTCAGAACTTAGCAACGTACACCCCATATTCCACGTGTCAAACCTGAAAAAGTGCCTATCAAAAGAAACCCTCGTTGTTCCTCTGAATGAGATCAAGGTGAACGAGAATCTCCTGTTCATCGATGAACCAACTGAAATAATTGACAGGGAAGTAAAGCATATAAAACAAATCTGCATTCCAATTGTGAAGGTTCGATGGAGTGCTAGTAGCGGACCGGAATTCACATGGGAACACGAGGATCAAATGATGCAAAAGTACCCTCAGCTCTTCTCTAGTTCATAAGAATAGTTTTCAAAGAATTTCGGGATGAAATTTACTCTAATAGGGGGATGATGTCACAACTAGCATTTTAGGGCTAGGTTTTTCCCTATTCATGAACAAGATAGTCTTTGTGCAATAATGTAACGCTATGTTTATATGTGAACCAAATACAATGATATATCAGTTTATACATCCAAAAAACTTGACTTAAGTCGAAACTTTCTCGTAAAAGCCCTAAACCTAACCCAAAAAGCTTCATTCACCCAACTTTGGGTTTTGAGCTTATGTTCTCGGTTCAAACCTCTTAATGGACCAAACTCTTCTTATTGGGCCCTAATGGGCCAATAACCCTTCGGTTTGACTCTTTTAGGCCAAGAGTCCACATTTGGGCCCTAGTTGGGGCTAAAATTCATTAAGCAATAGTATTTTGGGCCGTGAACACCTTATTTCGGTCGAAAACCATTCAACAAAACAGTTTTGGGTCGTAAACTTTTGATGGGACTTATTGGACCATGGAGAATTAATTTAAGACTTAATGGGCTCTATTTGGGCCGAGAAGCCTTTCACTTACC